ACAGAATGAATTATTCACAGGCAGAAGCAACATCATTGATGAATTAGTGTTTTTCTCGAAATAGTCCATTATCAGTGTTAGTTTTACTAAATGAGTAGTTGGTATGTAGTAGTAATTAGGTTAGAGTTTACATCCTCGCCAAAGGATGTAAACACAAACGGAACAACAAACATAAAAGGGCATGAAATGTCGATAACAACTTATCAGTACATAAATAACCAAACGGAACTGATGATATCGATTTACAGGACATGCACATTTTCCGTTTCATGATCCGTATAGATACACACATTATCAATGTCAACTTTTATACAACAGAAAATACAATACTCATATATTTATCGAAAAATTTGTCACTTTCGAAATAAATATTCCCAGGATAAAAACACTTTCATTGTATTTTTGTATACCTTCATTCTGTAAGGATGTGTTATCAACTAGTATTTATAACGAAATGAAGTGAAAAAATCAGCATCCGGAAGACAAATACAAGTCGTGAAATGTACTTATATTCTCCACCATAAAAAGAATTATATTTATAAATGGTTCAATATGACTTTAAATTTATAGGACCAGGTTCAGAAGGAATGTGGCAGTCATTATTATCATTGAATAAAATCGTTCAAAATAATTTCAAAATAGTGGCATTTTCGACTGTACCGGAAGTATAATTACTCTTCGAAGTATTGAAAAAATATACCTAATACAATAAAATTGTGACTCCTTAAAATGAAAAAAAATTCTGAATTTCGATGCTGATTTGAAGTTCGATTATACTTTTTGTGGTATCCTGCTGATGAAAAACTAAACATTATGAGTTATATTAGTCGCTGTAAACAGGGTGCTTCCTAACTACGGTACGAAACTTTAGAGGGTGATTCGTCAGGTAGTTTTGAGAAAAAAAGTTCTTATGAACATATGTCCGGAGTTGCTTCGTTTTTGAGTTTGGCTTTTTTCGGCCTTGAAGTTTAAATAAAAAACGGTATTTATAAAATATCATAAATATCCTTACACCGATTTGGTTGAAATTTGCTACAGTTATTTGAAGTAATAAGGCGTTTATTTAGCTCTAATCATATTGAAATTATTAGGTCCAGTGGAATCTCAGTAGGCACCATACAAAACAATATTAAGAAGAAAAGTACGCCATTGACTTGTAGTTTACTATTTTTTTAGATTAATCAATTAAAAATACATCTTTTTCGTCGCTTGCGTTTTCTTCATACCTAGCTTCGTTAAAAAAACAGTTTGCATATCATGAACACCTGCCCTGGAGACCAGATGACAGTGATAGTGTTGTTATATCAGTGAAAGTCAGAGTTATCAATTAGCAGTGATTCCAACATGAATAATTTTACTAACGCTGAAATGGCAGACATACACTTTATTTATGGATTAGCAAACGGAAATGCGGAACAAGCACAGATAATTTACCAAGACAGATATCTTAACAGAGTAATTCCGTGTGCTAAAACATTTAGAACGTTACATGCAAAATTATGTGAAACTGGCAGTTTTAATGAAAATGCAGGTGGTGGAAGACCAGAAACTGTAACAAAGTCTGAACTAGAAGAAGCTATAGGTACCTACTTGATGCACTGCAGCTGGAAGTTAGCCCAAAAACCGTATGGACAGTTCTAAAAAAACCACCTGCACCCACATCACATACAGCGGGTCCAAGCTCTACTGCCACGGGATTTTCAACCAAGATTAATGTTTTGCATGTGGTCGATTCATACCACAGCACACAATAATAATTTTTTACCAAATATTTTACATCCAGACGAAGCAAATTTTTCACGAGATGCTATTTTGAACTTTCATAATATCCATTTTTGGGCAGACGAAAATCTCCACGTTATTAGAGAAAGTAATTTTCAGCAACAATTTTTGCTGAACGTTTGGGTAGCAAGATTAACAGGTGAATCCTACACGGACTTTTTGCGAGATCATTTACCCATTTTATTAGAAAAAGTGCCGTTACTTGTAAGAGGCAACATGGGGTCTATGCACAACGGGGCTCCTGCTCATTTTAGTGTTCTTGCTCGTCAGCATCTCGACATCACCTACTCTAATCGCTGGATTGGACATGCAGGACCTCAAGATTAGGCAGGTCGCAGTCCTGATATTAATCCCCTAGATTTTTATTTATGGGGTCATCTGAAGGCTCTTGTTTATAAAACTCCTGTACTACCGTGTTAGGAATCACACGTTAAAAGGTAAGACCTCGTTAGTCCTTAGCTCGCACAAGTTCTCAACTTTTGAGAGTTGTCGTTCGTATGGGGGCGACAGCTGATTAACGGAAAAACGATTTTTTGTTTTAAACAGATGTGAATGACTTGAAGAATATAATAATTGAATTGAAGGGGTTATATTTTTAGGAGTGATTAATTTTTGGGAAAGAAAGTTTTTGATCTTGATACAAAAAAAAAGATGAGGGAATCTTCCAAAGAAAGGAAGGAAGTAATCAATTTGAAAATAAGTAACTCTATACATGGATGTGTTGTAGATCATGCAAAGAAGTAACTTTCAGACACAAACTGAAAGAAAGTCCTCCTGAAACAGCTACTTTCATATAAACATTGAATTATACGAAAGAAAAAAATTCTTTCGAAACAAATACTTCTATATGAACACTGAATTCTACAGAATACACCTATCTGAATGAATGCCATTACGATGTCATTGATGACATAAGCAGATCAAGCTTATTCCGTGACATTAAAAATCGTAATTCATGAATGAAGTGTGTGTATTTTCTATAATGTTATCCAATTTGGTATTGAAGAGCCTTAGGGCAAGTGTCTTAAGGCGAAACATTGGTGTATACCAGTGAGGATGACAGTGTTCTATGTAAGTGCAATTTGTTACCATTCATTTAAAGTAGAACTCATGTGAATGATATCTGATTTTTATTCCACAACGAATGTTTGAAATACAAACTGAGTAGAGAAAAGTATCTTCTGAATAATTCAGTGTTCATATAGAAGTATTTGTTTCAAAAGAATTTTTTTTTTGTATAATTCATTGTTTATATGAAAGTAGCTGTTTCAGGAGGACTTTTTTTCAGTTTGTGTCTGAAAGTTACTTCTTCGCATGATCTACACATCCATGTATAGAGTTACTTATTTTCAAATTGATTACTTCCTTCCTTTCTTTGGAAGATTCCCTCATCCTTTTTTTTGTATTAAGATGGGGTAGTAGAAAGCCAAAAACTTTCTTTCCCAAAAATAATAATTGACAATTGCAATGCCATAAGGAATACTCCAGGTATTTTTGTAAGTGTCAGACAATCAATGACAAATCGGTCGCAGTCGTGTATTTTATCAAAAGGTGGATATTTTGCTCATTTACTTTAAGGTCGAAATTGTTTATTATTTACTTTTGGTTTTTATTTTATGTTGTCCATGGATAGTTTTTGGAAGTGATATTTTCTCTTTCTCGAAAACGAAGTTTGATATGAAGTAAACACAAGCAAAAAGTTGTATTTTCATTCGCTCAATCTAAAAAAATAAAAAACCACAATGCGGTTTTTTTTTCGATTACAGTTGACTTGCCCTACCGACTTTATTTGGTGAAATTGAACATAAGATCAATTACTTACTTTCGGGAAAAGAAGGTTTTGGCTTTCTACTTCTCCAACTTTATACAAAACAGGTGGGAAACTTCCGAAGAAGGGAAGAAAAGAATTGAATTCAAAATAAACTCTTTACAAAGGTGCGTAGATCATGCATAGAAGTTACTTTCAGATGCGAACTGGAGAAAATGCCCTTCCGAAACAACTACTTTCACATGAACGGTGAACTAGACGAGGTTGTTTAAGAAGTTTTATTAGTTTTAATGTCATGTGTTTTTTTAAATCTGAATATAATTGGGAAAAATATCTGGCACTTCTTAAGTTAACAAATCAATAGTTGTTAGCATATATATTACAATTATTTACCCCACTACCAAGGGGGTAGTGGGGTAAAGGTGCGTATATCATGCATAGAAGTTACTTTCAGATGCGAACTGGAGAAAATGCCCTTCCGAAACAACTACTTTCACATGAACGGTGAACTAGACAAGGTTGTTTAAGAAGTTTTATTAGTTTTAATGTCATGTGTTTTTTTAAATCTGAATATAATTGGGAAAAATATCTGGCACTTCTTAAGTTAACAAATCAATAGTTGTTAGCATATATATTACAATTATTTACCCCACTACCCCCTCTGCCAGCAAAAGTAAGCAAAGCTCTTATCCCCCTCACATGGTAATTATTGTTATATGTATTTTTCAAACATAGAAAATGTGTGGGTTGCCATATGTGTAAAAAAGTAAATAACTGCTGCTGTCTTAATCACCATCTAGACCCCCACCCCCATGTCATCATAGCAAAGCAAAGACCCCCCGCCCCCTTATAGTGCTTACCAAATACTTGAATGGCCCCTATCAATATAATTCATTACCATGTAATAAATACCTAACCGTACTTCTTGATTGATGTTTTGTTAAGTAGGTAATGGATAATAGCTGGAATATTGATTGCTCTAATGTAAAATGATCCTTTATCATGCAATATATCACATGCAACTTCCTTTCATTTTATTGCCCAAATGTAAAGCATATTTTAAAGGGTTGAAAGTTTTGCAATAGTTCTTGAGTCAAAATTTGTCTCTTTATGAGGTTTGACATGTTTCTGGATTTTTAGTGGAGAGTTATTTTCCTGGCATTTATGCTTTGTGGTATGTTTTCGTTAGCTCACCCTGTACCACAAAACTAATGTGTGATGTAAAATTGTACCGGGTATCTCTTATCTACGAAACTCATGAAAAATGCAAAAATACTTTGAGCTCACTGTTCATTAGACGCAATGTTACCTCATAATTCAACTATTAGAACTACGAAACATCAAAACACAAAATCATTTGATCTTAGCAGATTCACCTGGAAATTTGGTATGTAGTATCAAAAATGTACAAATTAATTGAAATATATAAATTGAAATTGTTTCCACTAACCTTTCTGACATATGATGCCTGAGGATGATGCTTCACTGGCATGAAGAGTAACTTAATTCGATCGAAGAATTGTATACCGTCAATGGAGGCAACACCCATATATAAAAATATTCCTAAAACAACCGCCATCGGTACAAGCCTCAAAAGAGGTGACATGAAGACGGATAATCCTGAAAAAAAACGAAGTAACAACAAAATGATCGCCATTTTATAATTCTATTTTTTACTTCTTATGCTGTAATAATGGTAGTCCTATATGTATTTTGATAATTTTCCCCATTTTCACTTGTATTTTTTAGTCTTAATTTAGCAACTTTGTTCTCTGAACTCAACTTTATTTCAATTATATCACTAATAACTTGATATTGTCAAAAAGCAAGTACTGTTCCCAAACACAAGAACTATAACACTCTTCTTGACTCGTGTTTCATCAACCAAGTGGGCGTTTTAAGGAAATAGAGCAGTCTACCTCATCTCCTGAAGACGCCGATTTGGTTGGTGAAACGCGCGTCGAGAAAAGAATTTAATTCACTTATAGTTGCCTTGTGATGAAGAGGCCATTAGCTTATACTTTGTGGACACTACTCTAACCTGGCTACAAAGCTAGTACAGATAATACGTCAATATTCTGTTGAAAAGAGTGTGATCAATTGACAGGATTTCTCATGTTCTTTAATTTTTCCTAATGTGTCCAGTGAGGTCGTAAAGTATCAGGTTGTTTCAAAAGTTTTCTTCGTTTTAATGTCATGCGTTTTTGTAGCTCCAAATCGTGTTGTTGTATGTACTGATCGATAGAGAATTTTGTACACTATACATTTTTCAGCTTATTACTATATAATGTTGTTAAGCTATTTGGGGCCGATTTTTATCTACGAATTCAAATTGAGCCAAAGCTCTTCTGAAATAGGCCGAAATAACCAGAAAAATCAACCAGGCATTTGGCAATGATAGTGTTAATGAACGCACCGTTCGACGTTGGTTTGCGAAATTTCGTTCCGGAGATTTCAGCATCGAAGATGAGTCCCGAAGTGGTCGACCTAGGACGAGGACTTGCGGACCCTGGTGGAGACTGGTAGAACCTTCGCCAATCAGGCCCAGGCAAAAACAACCTTCGTCGACTTCATCGAATCCCGAGCACGCAATTATTATCCTGAAGGAATTGATCGACTTGTGTTCCATTGGCAAAAGTGCACAGATTCAAATGGCGCTTATTTTGATTAAATCAAATGAGTATTCACTTAGATATTACAATTTGAAGTAGACGCATAAAAACGGACAAAACTTTTGAAACAACCTTAATTGAACAGATATTTTGTCATCAATTAAGTTTTTCATTACATTTTCAAATCAATTTTATGATGATGAAGTAGAATGTTGTCGTTCATGGAGGTTTGTGATTTTATATAATGGCATCCGATCCGGCATTCCTGGCCACTTCATCTCATAGTATGGAGCAAAGTGAACACTTTCCAATTTCACCACATTGAACATTTTTTGTAATTGAATGTTCTTCCACTGAGTTCCCTAGCGAAAGTTTTTCCAAGAGATTACCAAGATCTTCTGAAGTTCATTTTTTAGAACGGCTTCATTTACTTATTACAGTACAGTATTACAGTATAGTATAGCAGAGTACAATATAGCAGAAAAATGTTGTCCTATGCTCTGTCTAGGTCTAGAGTATGTATGTATGTAATATAGCATCTCTACATCTAGTTGAGTAATTGTGTAGTGAGAGTTCTTTGACAATAGATATTCATTATGTACTTTCATTAATGAAACAAGCTGTGAAATGAATTTTTAAATTTCTGAAAGTCATTGTTAATTCATATAAAGCACTGGTTATGTAGAATTTAGTTACTATGAACCCGCCTGAAGAAGCTATTTCATTGTGAAACACGTGTTTGCGGTTTTGTAAACTCCTTAGTGAAAATCTCACCATGAATTTTTACATGAACATATTTTATAGGAATATTAATGGAGTGCTGATAGGTTTTATGAAAGTGACCCAAAACCATAACATGGGGTTTTCACTATTAGTGAATTTCAAAAATAAAAGCAATTTTTTATTAAAAGGCGATGATGTTCGAAGCAGTAGCTACATTATTTTGTTTTCATTAGTTCGTCGACTCATATCAAATGCATAAATTAATGACGCAGCATATACATTCACTTCTCATTGAGTAATTTCACTGCTCATTCTTACCTATGAAAATAGATACGAAAAGAGCAGAGAGCCTTTGTTCCTTAACTTCGATCAAATGTGGCTTCTCTCCAGGTGCATGAGTACGAGACATCACAGTTAAGGCTGAAGTGTGGACGATTGACCTTACAGCTGCAGCACAAATCCACGGAAAACCGAAAAATCCACAAATGATGTTAATGAGGCAGATAATCACAATATCTGAATGTAAACCACTTCCTTTCTTCAGTTTACGTTCGGGTTTGCTGATAATCAACCTAGAAAAAAACGTAAAAATGTATCACTGGAAAATAAGTGATATTGAAATAAAATTTGTTATTCTTTTTAATGTTAGGATTTGCTTATTACAAAATATGCTTAAAAATCTGAAAAATTATTATGTCTGACCATCACATATATAAAAATCCCTTTTAGAACAGAAAATTCACTATATACATATCTCATTCTCATTGTTTCACTATTATTTTACTTCGCATGCCAATGCTGTCCTGACTGATACTGAACTGAATTGTTCACTGCATTTGCCAAATCTTTAAATAACGAACCAATTCCTCTAGATAATTCATCGTCGCTTTGTGTGTCTTTCAGCTTTTATTCGTTTAGAGCTTCCTTGCTGATTCATTGTTGACGCTATACGTTCTGGAAATACAAGAATGCAATCCATTGATCTCGCGAGCAGCTTATAACAGTATCGTAATTATTACTAGTTATTATTATTATTAACCAATCAGCAAACAATTTAATTGGAGTTCCACTTATGTAATCAGCACTATTATGACTGCGGATCAGATCCCTGCTCTGAAACTTGATGAGTGACTTACACTACATGATTCAAGCTAGTGTGTCGTGTGGGTGTTCTTGACATATTGCATGGGACTGTACTAGAATTGATTGTTGTAAGGCGAAACCTTTTTTTTTTTACATTTGATGGTACAAATTTCCAGATAGATTTTTCTGGTTTAAATGAAATTTGGTCACTATAATTGTTGATCAAGTTAGAAAATATAAATATTGGGAATTGCTGTCACAGTTTATCACATCCCCTTAAAATACTTTTTCAAAGATCATTTGATATAGGGATTTTTCCAGGCGTTTGGAAAAAATATTTTCTTTCTCCACTATTCAAAAGTGGAAACAGAAATGATATTCAGAATTACAAAGGTATATCGAAAATTTTTTGTATTCCTAAAGTATTTGAATCATTAATTACGGATGAAATATTTAATAATTTCAAACACGTCATAATAGATGAACAACATGGATTCTACAAAGGAAGGTCTACTGCCACCAATTTGGCTGTCTACCAAAACTTCATCACAGATAAGCTTGAGCAAGGGCTCCAAGTTGATGTTATCTACACGGACCTTGCTAAAGCCTTCGATTCAGTTTGTCATGAACTATTAATTTTAAAACTTAATAATCTTGGAATCACGGCAGATACTTGTAATTTATTGAATTCTACCCTTCCGGTAGATTGCAGAATGTGAGGATAGCTGACAGTGTGTCAGAAACAATTCATGTGACTTCAGTGATTCCGCAAGGCTCGTACATTGGGCCTATATTATTTCTAATCTTCAATAATGATGTTAAATCAGTGTTTAAACACTGTGATATCTCTCTGTATGCAAACGACCTTGAGTTTTTCAAAACAGTGCAATCTACCAATGATATTGAATGTATTCAGAATGACCTGGATAGCTTGTACCTACTGTGATACTAATTGTTTAAAAGTTAACGTTAAGAAATGTAATGTATTGATATTTTATAGAATAAGGCAGCCTGTCATTGGAAACTACTCCATTAATGATGTAATGTAACTCTTCAAACAGTCAAAAGCTTATGCGATTTGGGAATTACTTTCCATAAAGATATAAACTTTATTGATCATGTCAATAATATCTGTAATAAAGCATTCAGAATGCTCAGATTTATCAAAAGGAATATCCGCCATATTACAGAATATGATGCTATGAAGTCATTATGCTTTTCACTGGTTCCAAGTATTTTGGAATATAATTGTGTTATTTGGTGTCCTCTTTATGCTTGTCATAAAGAGAGACTTGAATAAGTGCAAAATCGCTTTACTAAATATATAATTTGGAAACTTGGATTTAACTTGGAAATGAGACTGTCTGTAATAGATTTATTATCACTTGAGGACAGACATAACCTGGCAATGGTTCTATTCTTCATAAAATAATAAACTTCCACTACAATTGCTCAGCTATTTTAGATGACCTTTGCGTTTCTGTTAACTCAAGATCCTTAAGAAGTAATCACATTTTTTCATTTGGGTTGCGATTTTACAAGACTAACTATGGCTCGATGGCAATAAGTTGTAGACTTTAGAAAAATTTCAATACATTCTTTTCAGAACTTGATCTTTTTCATTTGTTACATTTAAAATTCGAAAAAATGGCAATCAGACAACTTCATCCAGAGAGTGTTCATTAATTTTCTGAATAGTCGTTTATTATTTATTTTAATGATCATAACTTATTCTAGTGTTTGTACATGTCTTTTTTTTTATTTGAATTCGAACTTCCTTGGCTTGCCATTTGAATTTTATTACAATTATATAATGTAATACTTGACAAATAAAAATGCATATCTTTATTTATTATGAAATAATAACTTGACTCTAGGGTTTGTTTGAACATTGATGTAACATTTGGGACTTTGTTACAATTCTGTAATGTACTTGACATAATTACGTTTTATTTTATAATTTAATTGATCATTAGTGTTGCACATCTTTATACTTATTCTTGTCTTTTTAATTATTTTTTCTTCTTTATGTTCCATTTGGTATTTTTTAATAGTTTGTGTTGAGCAGGACTAATAAAAATAAATAGGTTTATTTATTTTTAAACAATTACAATAGTTTATCTTAAGGATCTTACTTGTTGGGTTCATAACCGAACTCTAATGCTTGACGAGTTTCTACAATTGAAACTTTCTTGATGTACCATTTAGGATTTTATAACAATTCTGTAGTGTACTTGACCGATAAATAAACCCATACAATTCAAAGAGTGAGAAAAATAATTCTCAGTTGATCATCTCACTCATTTACTTACTCTGAGATATGAGTCTCCATGAACAATAAAATGTAAACGAGCATAGCTGGAATGGCGGATGCAAACATTATCCAAATAGGCACACCATATGGCGATATGAGCCACCCTCGCTTCTCTGTATCTGACGGAGAGAGACCTACAGGAACATTCAATTTTTCCGTATAAGTTTGAGGTACCATATAATCAACGAAAACCATTATCACTATTGCTATAGGAACTCCAAAATCACCTAGGGCTCTTCTAGCCTGAAACATAAAAATTCAAACTCAAAGTGTGGAATCTGAATGGACTTTCTGAAAAAAATGACAAGTATTTGACTCCCACCTTATTTTTCTCAATTGAAAAAATTACAAACATTTCAAATAACCAACAAACAATATACATTCATAGAATGTTGTAATGGCAGTAAACCCACGGTGTTAATTTTTGTGATGCACTATTTGGTGTAGTAATGAATATTACTGGAGTTATATCCGAACACCAAATCGTTAATTTTAACGCCTAGACACGTGTTTCAAAGTGACGAGGTGTTAAAAATAACGGTTTTGTGTTGGGATAGAACTCCAGTAATATTCAGTGTTAATGACTCATTTTGAAGGTCTCGCACTATTTGAAACCAAACGTGACATGGGTTATGACTGTTATAAAGAACCTCAACCAAGTTACGTTCCTAAATTATATTCCCTTTCATTGAAATGAAATTGGTCCTATATGCAAGAAAAACATATTCAAAAAACAATTTATTGTGAGATTTTCACTAAACAGTTTTACAAAAACGTAACATTTATTTCGCTATACAATATCTTCTTTAGGCGTGTCTTTACTAACAGTTAGTAAAGACACACCTGAATTCTTCAGGGGTGAACTTTTTCAGTTTGCTCTTTATACACTTTAGCAGATTCTCTATTGAATTAGTTTTTATTTATCAGAATAGTAGGCCCATAAAAGATTCTGTATTTGCATTGTCCCCCAATAAATTGATATTGAAATATCATCCTCTGATGAAAATTGGTACCTTTTCTTAATTCTACAAGTGCTTCAGTTCGCATGATTACTGTATCTATATTAAAACATTTACTTATAACTTTTAACAACTCTAGGAAAACCAATAGCATACTCTGGAATATTTAGAATCTAAATAGTAACGTGACAACTTTCAAAAAAAAAAATTGAAATTAATCAATTAATCAGAATGTAGAAAAATGATTCATTGAATATAATTTTGATGGCATAATTAACATAAATATTACTTACACTCCTTCCTAAAAATTGACTATTTCTGAACATTCTTAAGTAGTAGGCAATGGCGAACGTTCCCAAAGTAAGTACCGTACAGAAAAGAGCCGTATTCGGTTGATTGATGAATGCCCCTGTTTCATCTCTCATGGAAATATTGATAACCTTCCTTTCCACGCCAGTAGTTGTGTTTGTTCCAATTGAAGTATCATTGAATCCATCTGAAGACGAATCATTCCTCATCACAATACTTTCTGTCGCGCAATAATTTGCTAACAACGGATGCTGCGTGTAAAAAACACACACCTTAACTAGACTCTCCATAATGTAAATAAGTACGATGAGCGTGGAAAAAATATCTTCCGTAAATCGAGTAAATAACTTGACGAGAACGCTGCCTTCGAAAGTCGCTACACCTACACCTATTATGCCAAGCCAGATGCCTACAAAAACTCTGGTGGATAGAAAGTCCGCTTCGCTGCTTTTACAAAACTGGAATAAACTCTCATCGAAAAGCAAGAGAGCTCCTGTGGTACCGACGATAACCAGTGGCTGACCGGCAAGCATTGCGAAAATTATGCCTCCCAAACTGGTGCACAGAAGCGTTTCTGATATGCCTATAAGATTTTCTGTTTTGTCTCCGGTCAGTCCACCGAATGCAATCGCTCCAGAAACAGCTGCGAAATACATAAAAATTGCTGCGGCTACACACTGGATATTCAGGCCATCGAGGATGTCACTCTTGTAGTGAGGGTATCGTAGTTTTAGATCGTTTATTAGGCCTCCTAATGGTCGACGAGTTCGTTCCAAAGGGTCATATGGCGGTTTTTGATCACCTGAAAAATTAAAAAATATTTGAAGTTTTCTGGACAATCTTAGAGAACAATTGGAAGTATACATATATAATTATGGAAATACAAGGTGTAAGATCTGTATAAATGTTTTGTTATATATGAAATTAAGAATGTTCTAACTTCAAACAGTTGAAAAAAAGTTGTACCTTACACTTGAAAACAACCCTCTGGAAGCAACTAGCCACCAGAAAGGATACATTCAAAAACAACTGTGCTTGCGATGCCAACATCCAACCCAAGTTATTCCTTTGTATGTTACTTTTTTACTTATAAAGTCACCTTATTCGTCATTGTTGTAAATTCTCATCTCCTGACGATGCCTATTTGGTTGGTGAAACACGCGTTAAGCACATGATAGCAGTTATGGTGTTTGGGAGCAGTGATTGTTTTCAATTTGTTCTACACCATAGCCAAATAAAATTGTTTGAATAGATACTGTGATTTGAGTTTGAAATATTCAAAATACTAGTTATTTTTTTGATTTTTTGGGATGTGTTCACTGTGAAGACATACTTATAGCATGTCACATCACATAATTTTCAGCCAAAATGCCAGCTCAGATTACCCATGATGACAACCTTTACTGTATTTCACAATAGGTCTTAGTAATATTTCCGAACCCTGATTGTTTTCTTTGAAAGTTTTTGGATATTGAAATGATACAATATAAAAAACGACCGTCTGGGGCTGAGTTCAGACGAAAGCTAAATAAAAATTAAAAAACAGGAGAAAAGTTGAGGCTCTGAAAAACTGGTTGTCATAAAAAGTCAAAATGAATCACAATTTGTATTCAGACAATTCTAGTACTAGAACATCTGCTAATAAAAGCTCTTCTTTCATATCCTTGACAGAGTCAGATGAAATACAGGTTGAATTGGAAGTTAAACCAGAAAACTATTCTACTAATGCAGGTGAACTGACAGACACAACCTGAACATGAAACGTTTCGTTTTTATACTGAACTAGCGAACTAGGCTGTAAGTACATATTGTACGTGATTATGTATCCCAGTATGACTAGATATTTCAGTGGAAATAATTTTTATAGAAGGTTGACAAACGGAAAAAATAAAACAAATCATGGTTGATATACTCTAAAACTGAAAATTAACTTTTTCGTGGTCACTCACATTGGGTATTGATTGAGTGCATTTTCTTATTTGAACTTTTGTTTTTTTACATTATTTGTTTCATATTTGTTATCATATGAATTGAATATTTCTTTTTATTTTCTTGTTACTGAATAAAATATTATATCCAATTTTTTTTACATCTCCCTAACCAGTAACCAGGATTTGCCACTATAGAAAAAAATATCAGTCAAAAATGTACAAAAAAAAGAAATCTTATAATTGGGTATTCAATAAGATAATCTTACCTTGTGTAATCAAAGGCTTTGAGACGATTCCTTGAGCTTCCTGTGCCTTTTTCAAAGCATTCTGTTTTCGCCTCCTTATCGCTTCACTTTTGGCCTTTATTTCCTCAATAGGGAGCAACGCTTGTCTCTCCCAATCGCCGGGAGGTAGAACGATACTATCATCCAGAAATTCATTTATAGCTGAAAGCAGTTCTTTGCGGGTGTCCGCCTTGTAGGCGATACTGTGGAACTGTTGGTTCGCCATCAGGGTGGATATTGAACGCCCAACTTCGTGGTAGTCGATGTTGGGAAGTTTTGGACCAAGGAGTAAAAATATAAATCTGCAAAAATCATATCTTTCTTAACTGGAATAGGGTTGATATGAGAAAAACTTTGATGATTAATATACTAGCACTTGCCCGCGACTTCGTTTTCGTGGACTTGGGTTTTTCCAGATTTTCTTACAGCAAAAAGTTCTTATATATGTACTTGCCTATCTTTGATTTATAAGAAAATCGTTTTACTAACTATGATTATAGTTAACTGAAGTTTCAGCCAATTGAATTAAGCAGTAATTTTTAGATTTTTTTCAACAAATGTTTAACGTGAATATTTGAGTTGACGTAATTTTTTTATTCATGAACCGATTGAAATAAATTGAACACTAAATGTTGAGAAAAGCAAAACTATAGTGTGAACTGCACCCAAAAAGATAAAGAACTTTCTGAGATTAGTGCACACAAACGCTGTTTTTTTATTTATTAGTTTGAGAGAAAGAATTATTGTATTGAAGTCAATGGAGGACCATTTGAACATTGGATTTACACACGCAGATTTGATTTTTTTGATTGTGAGCATGATGATAACACAATTAAATTTTTCATGTAAAAATAACCAAATTATTCAAGGTGGCACATTCGAGCTGCAAAATTCATTTTTGGCGAAAACGGTTTATCAAATTTACGTTTTTCATACACCGTTGTAAAGAGGCTTCCAAGACCTTTCAAATGAAGTATCACTCAACCCCTCTACGCTATTCAAGTTTGAGGGGTTGAAGAGCCCCCTATTAGGGGGTTGCTCGTTCAAGCCTAAAATATACGTCAAAAGATGTCCCTCAAACAAAATCATTCGAAGTGTTTCGGGAAATTTTTCCACCCACTATGGGATAAGAAATATACGGGGTTGCTCGTCTGAGATGGAACACACTGTATGTACTGTATTATTATTTATTTTTGCTGTATTTCATAGGGTCTTTCATTAAACGCTTCCCTATCTTTAAATTTAAATGTGCGAGATAACATCGAAATTTTTTATTCGTTTGAAGGAGCTATTGATGCCATTATGTGTAGAATATAACATGGTTCAAATGTCCGCTACGGCTTCTCTGGGTGGAGCGAATTCGAAACGTCTAATTTTCCATGACTCTGGCGCATAAATCAGGCTGAATTTGACCGATGGCATGGTTTTTGGCTCATTCGCATACACCTGCGATTTGAAAAACTCCAATATGAAAAAGTCTAACGGGATCAAATCGCACGATCTCGGTGGCCAGTTCAAATCACCCCCACTTGAGATAATCATGCCTTCAAATCGCTCGTGCAGAGTATCCAATATGACATGAGCTGTGTGCACCGATGACGCCGCGAAATCGACTGTCTCGATTATCCTGCACACTCTTACTGACAGCGGCAAAGTTTTCGGAAGATATTGCGTTTCGTCAACGTACGCGTGTTGGTCGATCGTTTACTGAACCAGTGGACTCAAATGTATTCAACACATTGCGAATAGTCCTTTCGGTAGGACGATTATAGTCCTTAAAATGGCCGAAGTGCGCGTTACGTTGTCCGAACAGAACACCCATTTTGATAAAACAATGTTATTATTTGCAGGTGTTGTTAAAGTTGGATGCTATATCCGTCCATGGTGATTTGGCAAAATAGACTGAATAAATGACACATATTTGACAGATGGAATTTCCTGTTGGAAGACCCTATACTATAATTCTTTCAAAAAGTTTTTCTTTAGTACATCTGACAATTTGTAAATTTGGAGACCAAGTTTACAAATGTACTACCAACAACAATACCAACAACAAATATCATTTCTCGCCAGAAATATTCGCAGACTTTTGTCGAGATTCAAATTATTAAAAAAAGATCCCGTATCTAAAAACCATCTACCATGGACTGATACTATCAAAAGTTACCTATGGAATTCTTGGATGGGGTGGAGTGAACGATACAGATATAAATTACCTGAACATTGTACCTACAAATAAAGACTGAAGGGTATATTAGGAAAACCAAGAACCTTCACAAATAACGAGTTATATAGGAAAAGCGGAATATTAGTTGGAGTCATTTCACTGCTAATGAACATGAATTGAAATAAAATAGAAATAAAATATTTGGAGCATCCAATTTTGGTACATATCTTTATTTCAGAATCAACATTTGCTTTGAGTGTGCAGCTAAATTAGAGGTCATTGTGACAGACTGAACAGACTGAAATTTGAAAAACTTACTAAACATTTTTGAAACTCAGTAATTTTGTTGATATATTTTTAACAAACAACTACTGAAAAATTGTAATATTTTTGATTAGAATATAGTTACTCAACAAGCGAGAAATGTGGCCATAACTCCATTACTAGTGATATCGGAGTCTGTCAACGCGAGCCGAAGACAAGCGTCGTATATCATTGAAGCGAGTAATGAGCATTTCTCGCGAGTAGAACACTATAGTTTTTCTATGACTCATAACAGGAATATTTCTAAATGAGATTCATTTGTGAACGATATCCACAATAAGTGACAGTCCATTAAATTTCATAAGAAGCAAACTTTAATTTTTTGATAGTTCATTCAATTTCAAATATTGAGTGGTTAATAAGTGGTTGATGAGACGTAAACCCAGGACTACCGGCACTCAAGTCCAGCGTTCTAACAACTACTCCAAGAAGCAGCGTACAAATAATGTCACATATAAAGCGATTTAAGTTTCAAATAACTTTTTTCAAATAATTTTTTGTTGAGTAACAAACTTTCGAAAAATATCAATTTATTCGCCATAAATGTCTGCTGCTTTCAAACTCCTTGAGTCCGAGTTATCGTTTTCTGTTAGAAACTATACAGGGTGTAACATAAGTACGTTAAAATATTCAAGTGACGTATTACTGAGACAATTTTAAGAAAAAAAGTCTATATGAACTTGTGTCCGAAAATTGACTTGGCACCACTTTATAATTTCAAATATTCTGAGTGACGAATATTGGAAAAAAAAACCTGTCATGCTAGATATTTAGAAAACCATCAATATTTTCGAAGTGCAGATATACATAAAGTTCATTTTATTTTCTATGAAGAAACCGAAAAAGCGATAAAAAATATAGGTTGCCATTTAAAAAGACACAGTTGGGATCCGCCCAGAAAAAATCGAACACCCTGTGTGACCGCCAATATTTTTATTTTGTCGAGCTCGAGCAATAAGGTAATATTATAGAAAATTAGATTCCTAGTTATAATCTTCAATTATAACTATCTAGAGTTCTACTGAATCCAGTGGCGTAGTAGACTTTACTTCACCTGGCCAGATATTACTTAAATTAGAAAAAAAGTGAAAATCGGTTACCAAATTGAAATTTCACAGGAGTATTTCTAATCTAAACGAATCACACCATGAAACTCAAATTCAATTTTATGAACAATGACCCACCTGACTGGTATGTTAACCTCAATGAGCGACGGTATGACAACCCCTTCAGCTAATCGGATGAACGCTATGGCCGGCTGATCCAGAAAATCTATGTCTCCGACGAGCACCGTGGATGCCTGTGCTCCGACAGGAATTTTCCTCAGGATTGAATCGTTGTGAGCTTTCCTGACATCTTCGGTGCTGAAGTGGGCGTCGTCCTTAATATCGACCACGGTGTGGTTCTCGGGGGGTTTCAAGAGAGCGTCGTGAGCCGGATCTCCATTTTTGATGGTACCATCGGATGTAGCTTTTCTTTTTTCGTCATCGAATAAGTTCTGAGAAAAAAAAATTATTTACTGATATGTACTGATGGAGTTTCCTAGGACAAGGAAAAACACAGGGGTTCTGTCATATACAATTACGTTTTCGCATACTGGTTGAATATTTACGATGTACAGGGTGAGTCAACAAGATTCCCTCGGTCCATCGCTATCAGGGAAAACAATTTATAGAATTGTTCAATTTTTTTTCGCAGTCATATCGATAAATACTATTTTTCAAAATTATTTTCTTGCATACTGGGTGATTCAGTCGAGCGTGGCCAACCAAAGTTATATTTTTATAAATGGAACACCCAGTATATCAATACGTCATTCGATTCCATATTTTTTTTAGCTCTCTAAGGAACTTTTGTTTACGAATTTCCATTGCGGCATTGCCAAGTTTTTTAATTTACCACCCGCATGTCTACAGCAATTAACTGGATTTTTTTAGGAATAGTTAGTCAACATCACTATGATAATTTCGGGTATCTCAACTCTCGGAAACAATATATAGAGGGCTCGGTAAAACCGTTCAAGTTTCATTAATTTTCAAACAGATATAATTCAACTTATTCAAATTGAACACCCTGTATATTTTCATTTGTATGAAATGTTTCAACATTTCACTACATTTTTTATCATTTTTTATACTAAAAACAGATAATTTACAAATCATACCGAATTTTATTATTTGTTGTAACTACAAATAATTCATTTAGTTACGTTCACTTACTCAAAATATTTTCAAAATGAACAATAAACCCTAAATTTTTTGTTGAATAGAGAAGTCCAAAAGATGTTCAAAATGGCGACCATTTTCTGCAACATATAATATCAGTCTTTTTTAAAACGAATTCTCTACACGTTCCAGCATATCCTCTGGGATTTTCCTGAAAGCTCTAAGTGATTCTTCGTTTCATGTCTTCTATAAATGTTGCAGGAGTTTGGTAGACAATCCATTTGACATTTGTAGCCACATTATAAGTCTTGTTCCATACGGAACCCCGTCCAATAAATTCAAAAACTCATGCCGAAGAAATCTTATATATTTTCTTCCAGTGAGATGCTCATCCAAAAAATGCGGACCAATAACTCTTTTTCCGAGCATTCCACCCCAAACATTCAGTGACCAACGCTGTTGATGGTTCAGGAAACGAACAAAATGGGGGTTTTCCGTTGCATAATAGTGCATGTTATGCCGATTCACAGTTCCATTTTTATGAACAGTCGCTTCATCAGAAAATAACACGAAATCGAAAAAATAATTTCTCTGATTGATCTTTTCTAAACCCCATCGGCAAAATTGACCACGTTTTTCAAAATATCTTCCTCTTAACTCTTGCATCAATTGCATGTGGTAAGGATGAAATTTGCTTGCTCGTATCATTCGAGCCACGCTGGTTTGGGAAAATCCTAATTCCCTGCTCAAGTCTCGGGTACTCACATGGAGATTTTCAACAAGGTGAAGAGCAATTTGAAATGTATTCTTTTCATTCGTTACAGGGCAGACACGTTCGAACTTCTCGTGAGTGACATTACCAGTCCTTTCAAATCTTGTCTTTAGAGCCTGAAATGCCCTTCCATCTGGTTGTCTTTTTTCGGCGAACTTCTCTTTGTAAATCCTTGATGCAAGAAGGCAGTTGCCCTCACTTTCCCCCCGAAGCATAGACTATTTACACCATATCTTCCAATACATAATTCATAATGGAACTGATTCAATCTACACGCGAAAGAAACTTCAACACGTAGTGTTATTGACAAATTCCGAGATTCATTTTGTGATATCAGTCATGGAATCTTATTGACTCACCCTGTAACTGAAAAATGAAGAATCTACGACCAACAGAGAAATAAAAAAATCGGCTGGTTGTGGTGCTAAAAATATCTATTACAACTAAGCAGCGTCACGTATCTGTCACGCAACAACTTACCTTCTTCGATTGTTTTGAGTCTAAGATAGACTAAGTTATATTTTGATAAAATGAAAAACTTTGAGCATGCAAGACACGTATGCTTAGTCCTCACTTTCATTAAAAAATAACAAATAACCAAAGATGGAATGTCTGTGAAGAAGGGAAAACTTTCCCCCACAGAAAGTGTCACTCATTGAAGTGATTTAAGAGGTATCACTCCATGAACATCAATGACCCATTTGAAAGGCCCTGAAATCGTTTCCCGAAAATCTCTATTTTTTTCAATGCAAATGACTATTAGCTGCCAACGAACATCTTGGCAACTTTTATAAAATAAACAAAAACCAGGAAAAAGCTTTCAAGTCGGAGCAACAGTCCGATACTATAATTTGGCTTTGAGAAAATCCAGGCATCTGTTTTTCTCAAAGAGAATAATTGTATAGGAACATGATCCACAATTTCGCCGCTGGCTGTGGCTTCAAAGTCAGTTCTTTAAAACACTATTTCAAAACAAATCTATAAATTATACTCGCTCCTCAGGCGAGAGTACAGATTCTTCGAAAAAGAGAAAAATGCATGATTTGGGTACATTGATTAAACTGAAGACAATTTCTACAGTGATTTGAATTCGATATGAATCACCAGATGCACAGTGTGACCCTATAAAAAAAGAATCACCTCTGCTTCTCAGCAGCCTTGGGTTCCAGATTACAAAACCTTTATTCTATCTACTTTTTTCAAGTCCTAACATTGAAATATGAGAAGGTATTTCTTTATACATTTCCACACTTTTAATAAAAACAATTTTTTGGGAATATACTGATATCATTTTTTTCCTAAATCGAAAATATTTTCATCTTAGGTAAAGAATAGGTGCCCGAATGTGAAAGCACAAACATATTGGAAAGAAAAAACTCCTTTCCTTCAAAAAGTGACAAGAAGATTTTTCTAGCAACCGTCAAACCAGAAACAGAACTTAATGATGCAATTCGATTGTAACAGAAAATGGGAAACAAAATAAAACAGGTGATGTAATGGAGCTGGCAATAATCTATGTACATACAATGTTGGTGACAAAAATTCAAGACGAAACATTCTACGTGAGTATTTGCCAAAAAAGCTTTGAAGCATTTCATAATTTTTGCATAATTGTGCAGATCGCTACAACGAAACTGAAGATTAGACATTAGGTATAAATGCACGAAGTTACACATAATTTAACAGTAGAACATTTTCTATAGAGTGTATAGAAATTTCGTCATTTGCTAAACTTAAACATCAATGGTAAGTTTGCTAAATTTCAGTATTTTCTGAATTCAGTGTAGCAGTTTATGGAAGGTCGGTAACCGGGCGGTTCGACATGTGTGTTTTGTTCATTCAGTCAATCGGCCGATGTGTGAGTCGATAGTTCAAGCCGCAGGTTGAACGCTCGATTTTCACTTGCTATCGTCCAACCCGTGTTAGGAATCACACGTTAAAAGGTAAGACCTCGTTAGTCCTTAGTTCGCACAAGTTTCGACTTCTGACGGTTGTCGTTCGTAGGGATGCGATAGCTAGTTAACGAAAAAAAAACACATTTTTTAAAAACATATTTTAAACTTGCACAGTTTTCCCCATAAAATATCGTGACATCAACATAGGAAAGCACATTACTAAAGGGGTGTTGGGTTGTTTCCGAAAGAAATTAGACTAGAAAGTGAATATTTCGAAATAAAATCTCAAATTACTCATGTCTCTCAACTACCTGAGAAATGCCTGGTGGAGAATAACTACTTTCCCGGCTGATTTCTGTGAGGTATCTTGCATAAATGAATAATAAATCAAATCATGTAAATAAATAACAATAACAAATAAATCAAAATAAAAATAATAAATAATAAATCAAAGCAGCCATTACAGTAGCTTATGAAAAATTCCTTCAGAAAACTGAGAGCGAGATTATCCATAACCACAATAAGTTTTGGAGCGAGCTACTCAATAATCTCTCAGATATTCTTGATGGTTTTGAAGATTTCTTCAGTGGTTCTTATATAGTGTCAACATTAAGTAATCATGGGAACGACAGTAGTGATATTCCCAGCTTAGCAATCAAAAACTTTAGTATTGAAGATGTTTATCATACCCTAAAAAAATTAAAGCCTAAATTTACTGCGGGACCTGATCATATTCCAGCTTTCATCATTGAAGATTGTGCCTCAGCTCTGGCTGAACCACTAACAACTGTACCATCAATATGGAAAATGTCGAAAGTCTGCTCAATTTTCAAAAAAGGAGATAAAAGTGAGATACAAAATAAAATTACAGACCAATCTCTATCATATGCAACTTTTGTAATGTGTTTGATGCTTCTTGAGAAGACAATGTATTGCCATGTCAGCAACATTATTAGCACCACATTCGTGGTGGTTGAACGTCCTTTCATGTATTGCAGAGAGTATTGATTGTCAGTTGCAGACTGATGTCATCTACACTGATTTTTCTAAAACGTTCGACAGACTTGACCATAGTATCCTGCTCAACAAGCTTTCGACTTTTGGGTTATCCAATGAATTAATTACCTTCCTCAAATCGTATGTTTACAACCGTAAGCAGTACGTCCATCTCAATGGCCTCAAGTCTATCGAATATATAGCCACATCTGGTGTACCACAAGGATCAAATCTAGGATCCCTACTATTCAATATGTTCATCGGAGCTGAGATCGATGTCAATTTCCTTTTATACGCAGATGACTTGAAACTCTATCACAATATAACATGTTCTAATGATTGCGAACGTCTCGCCCTGAATTACAATCACGTTGCTACATGGTGTGGAAAGAATAATCTATCTCTCAACATATCCAAATGTAATGTAATGTCTTACTCACTAAAAACCAACCTGAATTTACACAACTACGTAATAAACAATTAAGTTCTGGAGCGTCCTGACACACTCACTGATCTAGGTGTTACTTTTGATTCAGCCCTCTCTTTCAATAAACATATTGACACTACTCTAACAGCAGCTTATCGCATGTATGGATTCTTAGTTAGAAATACAAAAGACTTCGAAAAAGCTTGAACATTGAAATTACTTTATTTCACTTTTATTCGATCTAGGCTGGAATATGCATCTGTCGTGTGGAGTCCCTACTATCGGGTTCATATAAATCAACTAGAAGCCCTACAGAGGCGCTTCCTAAAATATATGTCTTTTAAACTTGAAGGCACGTATCGTACTGTAGGAATACCCTATTATGAATTTCTTGTAACTCACAATTTTTGTAGTCTCGAGGTAAGGCGTAAATATTATTCATTTCTTTTTTTATTCAAGGTCATAAACAATATCATTACCTGCTCTCAACTGTTACATATGTTGAATTTTCGGGTTCCTAGACGGTCATCTAGGAATAGTGTCACATTTTATCTCAACACTCCGCGTACAAATATAATGAAAAAATCTCCAATTTATAAAAGTGCGATACCTCTAATTCTGTTAGTCATGTCCTAGATATATTCAACTGCTCGATTATACAAATCAAAAGGCATTTCTGAGGTAACTGACAGTTCTGTTTTAATTTTTTTTATATAGATTCACAAATTATATTATGTAAGTACATATTTGTAAATGTATTATCCGGGGTCGTATTATCCAGGGTAGTTGGAAGAGAGAGTCTCGAGACAAGATTTGATTTCTGTTAAATAATTAGAATTGGTGGAAACTGCAATTTTCATTAGTGAGTTTTGGGAATGAATTCCAAATCATTATTGGTATTTTCAGAAAAACTACCTTTACTTAGAAAGTTCACCTACATTAGTTTCGATTTGGCTTTATAGTTATGAAACATACCGACGAATAATAATAATTTATTCATTTATAATAAATATGATGAATAAATATGGAATCCATGAAAGCATATGATTGTCTTGGAAAAATTCACGATTTTATCATTTGAATTTAATTATAATTACAATTATTATCATAACTAATGAGGTATACACACATATATGGGTGATTTTCTTGGAATTACATTTTCATAAAACGCTGAAATGAACTATATGAAACGTTTATGCGCTATTCTATTAGAGAATGAAATCAACTAAATGACGAAAACTACAACACAAGCTAGTAGCCAGCATCAAGAAAAAACGAAAAGAAAAAAACTATAGACACACGTGCTGACATTGACATTACGTTTGGGTAAGATGGAGTCCTTGGAAGCACGTGAGGGGCGCATAGATGTCCTTGTGCAGAGCACACTGAGCAACGAGCCATCATGACAGCATCATAATTAACACCATCCTCCAGCCATAGTGACTGAAAGCATTATCAGTGAATGGTGTGGAAAAATGTTTTAAATGGGCATATTGATGGGCCTTTGTTGTGAAAATGAGACAGTGACAAGGAGTAGTTTTTTGCAGTAAATTATGCTATAGGTACAGTAAAAACGATTTTGTTTAAGAAAATGTCAAATTTTCGTTAACATTATATTGTTGATAATGTGGAATAAGTGGTAAATTTTAGAATAACTCACTTGAATGAACCAGAACCACTTCTTGTTCCAACAAAATAGTTCCTTCAAATATTTTGAAATTAAGAAATTAGTTAATTCCTTAGGAATACCAATATGAGGTGTACCTGAAGTATATACCATAATTAGTGCAACATCAGATGAGAATCGTTTTGACAAACTCAAACATTCGATGTGATAAAACTAATATTTTACGAAATTGATCCAACAAAAATTTTTTTGATTGGAAAATGTCTGCATTTTGTTAATTCGATTAAAAATTCTATCGAATTTATTATACAGTGAATTTCTTTAATGTTTTCCCCATTTTATTTTTTGAACGGGTCAGGAAATTATTAAATGTTCCGCCATTTTGTAGTAGGTGAAAATATTAACTTCATATTTTAGGGTTGTGAAGTATTCATCAGGAGCTTCAAAATGATGTATCACAAGACCCCCCTTTCCATTTATTTTTTTCCCAGATGACGCCCGGTCGCCATCTTGAAAGTTTCATCTGTCAATTTCACTTCAAAATAAAGTATTCATGCATTCATTTCATTATCACAAATTTCAATTTTTTGAGTTGACCCGTTCAAAAAATAAAAGGGGGGACATTAAAGAAATGCACTGTATGTTTTATCATATTAACCCTATAGGGCTAAAATAGTATGACATTTTATAGACATTTTGAGTGCGAAAATAAATCAATTCTAAACATTGACTTCTTCAAGAACGTCATAAAAACTGCTTCCCTACGAAGTAAAAATTTTCAGCTATAATATCCCAAGGACATTGATAACTAACGAAATAATTTTATCACAGTTTTCGAAAGCACGTTATTTGGTAACATCCCGACTTTTGGAGCGAGCTACTCAATAATCTCTCAGATATTCTTGATGGTTTTGAAGATTTCTTCAGTGGTTCTTATATAGTGTCAACATTAAGTGACCATGCGAACAACAGTAGTGATATTCCCAGCTTAGCAATCAAAAACTTTAGTATTGAAGATGTTTATCATACCCTAAAAAAATTAAAGCCTAAATTTACTGCGGGATGTTATTTCGACACACATGACTAGAAATAGACAAATTTGATAGGATAATTTTTTTGGCAAAAAATTTTCAGAATAAGTTCTTCAAATTCAGATACAATTAAATTCGGGAATATTAAGCACCTTGATAAAAATGTCCAAACAGATATTAAAACACACAATAATTGTACTGGTACACAGGTAGACAGAGGTACCAGACGTGAACAGGTACGAGGAAGATGTGACTCATATAATAATATACAGGGTGATTCACGGGGATGACACATTATAAGTTTTTCGTGAACCAGGTACCGGATCACTTTGAAAATTTAATGAAGAGCACATTCGGACATCCTCTACCCAACTGAAAAACTTTTGACATTGCGGTGTTGCCAATTCCATTATAAAGTAGTAGAAACTTCGATTTTTCAAATGGAACATCCTGTATATAATATTATTTTTGGAATCTTAAACATTTACCCGACACTTTTTTTTGATATTTCCCTATACCTTTATGCGTTTTCGAAATATAAATTCATTTCAATTTTTTTCTTCGGAAATCATGACCTTTAAAAATGCTGATATATTTAAGCTAAGAATACTATGGTACCGAAATTTGGTTTGGAGTTAGATGATACTTGGAGAAATTGAAGAATCTATTCATTCTTTAATTATAATGCGATACAGTAATATTACATGTATACAGAGTGAAAAATTATTCACGTATTTACAACGTTTCATGCAAGCTCAGTAATACTCTATACAAAGATGTTATTCTTTTTATGGCACCGTCCATATGCAGTATAGTATAAATTTTATTAAAAATTCCGTTCAAAGACTAGTTCGGAAGCTATTCTGGGTATGTGTTATCACTGTCACTTGTCACGATAACTGCTACGACAGTACTTTCACTGATATTAAGAAAACTGAATGGAAAATGAATACACAAATGAAACTGAAAAATGGACAAGGCAAACATCAACTACATATGACATATGACACTTATGAAGACTATTCACCTTTTGAGCCTCCTTCACCGATTTGGTTCTCCTTCACTTTCAAATAAAGGAGATATTTACAACGCAGATGCTGCCAACCGCCCTTAGCTTCAAAAAACAATGTTCTCGCTCACTGGAGAGCAGTACGAAACCTCACACAATTGTAACAGATGAACTTAAGTAGTTATTTGCTTTGTCATTGTCCTTAATCACAAACATATCAAAATGTAGGTAATTTCATTAAAAATCTATTGATATGTTTTGCAGACTACTAGCGTCCACCACTTGAAGTTTAAGTTCGCGAATAGGGAGCCGGAGAACACATAAGCATTCTTGTACGCATAGTTCAGGAGCTGAAAAGACTTCGTCCTTTGTCCATTTGTTTACCAGTACAAATTAAATTTGAAAAACACATCCCGAATTATTAATAATTATACTGCAAGAATACGGTGCCTTTCCTTATGGAAAAACGCGTAAAAATTTGGGCAGGTCCATTCTGGCGATTTCACGACCTACGATCTGGACCTTGTGGAACACCCAACAATAGGGCAGCAATGTCTTTTCTGGCGCATTTCAAGATCGCGCATCGTTGGTGAGTGTTTCAGAGAGACATTAGTGAGTTAGAAAGAGACACGTGCGACGTAATTGATGCATAGAAGGATGGAATGAGTATCGGAGAGATTCAGATGAGATAAGAGCGTGGATTTGGGTCCCCTTGGGACTTCGCCTCACTGCTCTGGCCTCTTTAGGACTCTACGCTTGAGCTCTTTTGTTGCGCACCAGTCACGTGGTCCCAGTTGTCATCGGCAGCTTAGGTCGGTATGAAAATTGGAAATTAGATATTGGACTTGAGTGTGAAGCAATGATACTCATTCCATCCTTCTCTGTTTTCAGAGGGTTTCAGAGGGCTGACAAAACAACCGCTATCACTATCATTACTTCACATTCATTTCCAACATCTCAAGTTGGTGTCGAGGCTAAATAAAGTATACCACGCCGACGACCGCACGTGACTGGGGCGAGACAAGGAGACTCAGGGATGAAGTCCTAAGGATGCCCAATAGGTTAGGCGAAATACCAGGAGGACCCAAGTCCACGCCTTTATCTGTCAACTGAATATCTCCAGTACTCATTCCATCCTTCTCTTTATCGATTACGTCACACATCTCTCTTCCCCATTCACTAACGTTTCTCTCTGAAGCACTTACCAATGACACGTGACCTTGAAATGCGCCAGAAAAGTCATTGTTGCTCTACTGTTGGGTGTTCCACGAGGTTCCGATCGAAATGGCGTCGTATTCTTGTAGTATAATTACTCCCGAATGTATTGCCTATTAAAATAAGTTCATAGCTATCCTTAATTAAAAAACAATTTTTCTTTTTTCTGTTCCACACAGAAGCATTACATTTATAAATAGAATGTTTGGATAATTTCGATAAGACTTTCAAACGCGAAAAAAATTGGTTCTGTTAAAAATATCGATATCTGTAGTAATTTAGACCCTATATTCGTAACATTTTTTGTACCGATGAAGCTACAGAAAATGGTTGACAATTCTTTTGCACATTTTTTTGAGAGAAACAAATAGTTGTTTGCCATTGAAATTTTTTGACAAACTTTTTCGGAAAAAAGCTGGAAAAAACTTTTCCCGGAGCGAACCTCAATTTTTTTATTTGAAGAGATAGACACATGGTTACTGGGGATAAGTTGCTCAGAATCGAGAAATATTTCTGAAAGATTCTATCGTCTTTCTGTCTGTCTGTGCGCACTGAATAAAGACTATACCTAATTATCGCTCTGTATCGCTCAATTGTCATGGGCGTGGGTAACTGCCACGTAGTGACTTTACAGTATCTTTACTGTTCTATTTACTTTTTTCTAACTTTCTTTGGTCGTTTCACATTTTCTATATAATTAAGAAGTAGAAAGCCGGATGGTTTTTTAACTTATGGAAATAAAGTTGTATTCGATATTGACTTACGATATCGGGAAAATAACCATTGGATCAAACATGATATTCAGATTTTCCGTTTGTTTTTGTAAAGCAGACATAAAAGCAACTTAGGAAATATTAATTGAAAAAGTACCAACTGGGATCGTACTCTCGTGAAACAATTGATCACTGCCCTATTGATAAATACATTTTGCACAACAAGGACCCAATTTGGATTGGATGACTCTATCAGATGATGAATATATATATATAGTGATATAGTATTAATATTACTCTCACCTGTAAAGACGTATAACTATGTTTCTTGTTAGTGAATCTGAAACCTCTATCTTGATGATCATTCACATGCCGGTGCCTAAGAAGCAAACATCTCATTATCTTTGCTTTATCTTCTTCTTTAATCAAATCTTCTTTGTATAAATCTTCTGATATTCTGAAAAAGCAAATTACGACGTTATCTCAAAATATTTTGAAGAACTTTGTTGATCTAAACATATCCACGTTAATATAAGGAATTCGAAATTATCAGAGACAAGAACAAATTCTACAAAAATATCAATAACATTTTCTAGGAAGTTGCGTACACTCTAAATAACCTAATAAGACTCGTATGAAATTTATGTACTGATTACGAGTCTGATAATACCTTCATGTTTCGGGTTCGAATCCGGAATGGGATAAGTTCTTTCTAAAATTTAAAGAAATGAACTTTAAATATTCAAGCCCGTCTTGTATTTACCTACACAGTAGGTTGAATGGCTGACGCGTATCAGAAAACAACTACTCCACTGGCTAATACCACGAACGGCGTTGGATTATACCCGACAGTCAGTGCAGGAATCTTCACAGAAAATTTCTTTCATATGCAATTGGCAATACAACTGAAATTCGACCCTCAATTTTGGAACGGGCAAATTTGCAGACCGGTTTTGGGCTCCTTAGCCACTCATCAGTGCAAGATAGTGACCATCATCGACCTAAAGTCAATGACATTCCATAATTGAAAATCAAAATTCTTTCAGAGTATTTCATTCCTCGTCTTAAGTTGGAGCGAACATTAAAAATGTCACTCCACGTAGTCACAGCATAGGTGACAATCAGCAATGTCATTTCGCTTGGCGGGAGACGTTCGCGCATATCCGTCGCGTTGATGAGTCCGCCATTTTGGAAAGTGACATACTTTCTCATTCTGCTTTTGGATTTGCTCTTGTTAGGACATATATGTTACCCGTGTTCTGTGCGTATCGTGAATTTTAACTTTTAACATATAGTAGAGTAAGAATTTTATACATTAAAATATATAAATAGGAATTTCAAAATCTCAGAAAAATATTGCCAAAAAAAGAAGGAAGAATGGAACAATAATTTGGAGACACGAATAAATGTTTTAAAATGAACAATTTGTATTTCCAGTATTTTCCTTATATAATAATAACCAGCTACCCTGGAAACCTAGAAGGATCCCAAGTGGGTCAACTACATTGTTAATTTAACAGAAAATTTCAATTTCGTCTGAATAGCCATGGGGTCCTTGCCCATTGTTTTTCTTATTGGTGTCTAGATGGCAGCACCAGATACAAATGTTAATTTTTGAGTTCTTACTGTGCAGTCATTTTTGTTAAGTTAAAATAAAACAAATCAAGCAGTTTTTCTCAGTTTCATTCAAAAGTAGTCATAACCTTAATTTACATGATATTGACATTTCAGGAGGGTAAAAAACGTTCTGTGAACGTATTACTAAAAAAGAATAAAAAGATTGGAGTAACAAAAGTAAGTTGATGTTTAGATAGAGCTTACCTATGTATATATAAAAAAAGACATTTGTGTTGAAAAAGAGTTCATTCTAAAATGCAAGGAGAAAGTCAATTCTCATAATAAAGAACACGCAATTCAACTGAAAGGTTAATTAGTAATATACAAAATAACATATATTTTAAGAGAGGTAGATCATAAAGTTCATACCAAAAAGTTGATTGCTGGACAATTTATTCTTCATATTCCAGTTGATTGAACCATTGTACTCCTACTGGTGATTTTAGAAATAATTCGGCTGATTTGACATTTTTTGAAAAAATTCATGTAACCAGATAGAACGTCTGCATAAGAATTATTATATCAATTGAATATGGGTCCATTCCGTAAGGTATATCAAAATTATATGAGCATTTTGGTTATAAAAAAGTATGAGTGTGAATCTGTCCAAAACCATTTCGCGAGTCCGGCCCTCTTACCGTCACTTCCCAAAATGGCGTCTTGATACTTTTCCACATCAAAGGCGGCATGGCCAAGTGTCCATGCTGATTGTTAACTATGCTGTGACGTAGTGGACGAGGTACTAACCAACTGCATATCCGAAATTTGCCCGATTCCTCTGAATAAGGAAGAAAAACTTTCTTATTAGTCAGTATTTGTTCACGTACCCATTCACCACGAAATGGGCCTAATCGCTGAAGAAAATTGGGGTCAGTTGCCAACTACTCCAGAGCTCACTTAGCGAATACACGTCGTTGTCTATGGTCGTTATCTAAAGTTCCTAGTCAACTGAATTTTGCAAAATTCAAAATGCAAAATTCGCCAAGTTGTGATCTCAAATTCATCCACCACATTGCGAGTCCGAACTAATGAAATTCATCATGAAACATTGTCAATCACCTTAAAACAAATGAATATGCCAACTATCTTTGAAGGCTCTGGCTCTCAAAATTATTATTTCTTGCAGACCTGTTTGGCCATCTAAATATTTCAAAACGAAGCCTCCAAAATAGAAAAAAAGATTCTGTTAACTTTTTTGAGAACTGCACCACGATATTAAAAAATTTTGTGATATCGAAAACTCTCAAACTGAGAGGTGGAAAAGATTACACCTTGGGCTTGTTATTTTGTTTTTAAATCAATGAAAGTACTTATATTTGAAGCTGTATAATAATTCAGTTCAATTGTCTCATTTGCGATTCTGCTTATGACGTCATGAGCTTTAATATTGATTTCGCGTTGAATGTTCCAATAGGCGTTCATCTTCCATTGAAACTCGAGCGTGGACTTTACATGAGTGAAGAATGATCTCCGCCGTTGCTATTCTCAGCGGAACATTATTATCTGGAATCCGAATCAGTATTTGTTTGGCGGCAATAAAAATGCCGAATCCTCAGTGAGCGACTCGAATGTTTACTTCGATGTTAGACTAATATAAATTGAATAGACCCAAAATAAAAAACTCGGATGGACATTGAGTTTTCACCTTCAGCTGAGTTTGGTAGATTTGATGAAGGTGCTCACTACCATATCTGCCTCCAAAGCTGATACAACTGCTTCATAATCCTTCTGCGTATTCACAGGGATATTTTGTAGAATTTCGGAGGCTTTTCCTCATAATGTCAGTATCAGAAATGTTGCTTTCTCCACATTTTTCCACCCATTAGTTTCCGCAATGGCCTCAAATTGTCTGTGATAAAATGACCATGAATATTCGCTATCAAAGGTTAGAGTTTCAATAAAACTCATGCTAGATGAGAGAAATGTTGATTCCGGTTTGCATTTTTTCACAGCGATCCTCATCGGCTCTATTTTTTCCGAAATTACCGAAAAACCTCTTCAAATTTCCTTGCGACTCCTTCAAGCTCATTTTAAATTTTTTTTTAACCGTCTCAAGCTTTTCACGGATTACTTTCACAATTTCCACCTTTGTTTCCTACAACACTTTTTACGATTCTTCCTTTGTGTCCCCGACCACTTTTTAAAATGTTTCCAGAGTGAATTCTTGTACCACCCCTTTATTCATTTCAGACGATTAAAAAATTTTTCAAATAAATGAATGTACATTTACCTGTCTCTTTCTAGCTTTTCTGTAAGTATTTTTTCCTTTTCTGGTTTTGGAGGAGCACTTCTCTCTCTTTCTCTGACTTCTTCAGAAGCATTTTTTCTTTTTGTTTTTTCCTGAATATTTATCAATAAGTTTCTGACTTATTCTTATTTTTTCTTTAAATTTAGTAGTAGGTTAGGTTAGGTCCAAATTGAGTGGGTCTATTCAACCCTCCACCGCAAAACGCAAGCGTTTATTGTGGCTCGCACCTATTCACACTCGACTAAATAAACTCAGCTTCTTAACGAAGCCGATTAGTTCGTATGGTGAGTGGTCTTTCAGGTCAGATGGTAAGAGTACGGCTCTCGGGGAATCAGGTCCCCAGCGGGGCAGGCACAAAGTATGTGCTCTGCCGTTTCATCATTTTCCGAACAGAGGCGACACACACTGTCCTCCGACAGTCTCTGCATATGATGATTAAAATGACAGTGACCTGTAAGAAGGCCTATTAGACAACGTAGTTCATCCCTACTGTAGTCCAACAACAGTTTGGTATCAAGCTTCCAAGGGTGAATAAACGCCTTGTAATGAGCCAATCCTTCCAGAAGTCCATAAATCTTGCCATCCAAGTGTTCAATGTTTGTTTGGCGAAGTCTAAAGCGATGCCAATGACAGGTTCTGGTCCGATGAAGCTGCTTGCAGCACCCTCCTTTGCAAGGGAATCAGCAGCTTCATTGCCTTCCAGGTCAGTATGGCCAGGAATTCAGACCAGAGAGAGTCTGGTGAGTCTTCCTACCATTTTAGACGTTGCTCGGTAGAAGCCAAGAGCTTCCACGGCGCTTGACTGACCGGGAACATTTTTATTGACTTGTGTATGACGTTGGATTCTTCCAATCTCTCCGCACATAATTTAATAGCGTAAATTTCCGCTTGAAATATAGTCGTATAGGTTCCTAGGCAGGTTGATATCTCTGTCATGGTCTGCGACTGAAAACACCTGAAGCAGAACCGGAAGGTCTTTTTGATTCATCTGTGGACCAACAACTATCTGCTCTTAATATTTCCTTCTCCCGGAGGATCCAGTCCTTTCTACTTGGGAACAGTACTTTATAAGGCAGTTCGTAGTTGACAGTTTGAGGCATCAAGTCAGAGGTCATTTCCAGAATGCTGTGTTTTCCAGTGTCAACCAACAGTCTGTTGCACTCTGGATTAGGTTTATTGGTGCAATTCGCAATGTGCACTTGTCTATATGTAGTCCATCTAGCTTGTCTCTTCAGAAAAATGTGGAGAGGAGGTAGATTTAGAAGGATATCCACGGCCGCTGACGGTGTAGTACTGATGGCACCACTAATGGTAAGACGAGCCTGTTTATTTAGTAGTTAGTCAGGATCCTCCTTTCGGCATAATTATTGTTTCTCTATCTTCTTTTATCTTCCTGTCTTCAGTCAATTATTCCACTTCCGACACCAACTGTAACGTCTTTCTTGGTAGGTAGGTTCGACAATAATTGATAATACTGTACAAATAACCTGAACTTTATTTCACTGCTACACTGACAATACAATACTAAATTAAACAGACTAATAATGCTCAAATATAATTCGCCTTATTAGCTCAATTTGCCGTGCACTTTCCGAACTAGACCGCCTCTTTTACGCCGTGGTAATGCTTATTGGACCTAATGGAACTCTTAGCAAGCTGGTGGAACAACTCTCGAAAATACATTCTAGAAATTTTGAGAGGAGACACAAGTGGGGCTTAGCGAGACCTTGACTAAATCGCACACGGAGAACAGCAGCGTCAGTTGGAGTTTTTTCAGGAGATAATGTGCAACGATAGCAACACATTTTAGCTACTTGGTGAAGTTTTGTGTCAATTGTGTAAATAAACCGAGTGATTATCAGGGCCGTAATGAAAAAATAATTTATTTGATGATTATCATGTTACCGAAATACTCAGAAATATAGAAAAAAACTTTAATTCAACGGTATTATATGTACACTACCGATTGAACATTGCTACAAAATACAGATACGTATTTAAAATTAAAGATATCCCTAGTCTGACGATATCCAGATCATATTTTTATTGTGTGATGTAAGTTTCACTGGCAAAATATAATTAGATTTTCAAAGAAAAAAATATACAGCAAAATTAAAATTTCACAGTTTCATCACCTGTATATTAATTGAAACAGTAGAAGAAAGAGTAGATTTTTTGGTAGCCGAAAATGGTAAAATTTTTCACAATTCAACTTACTACTTATTTTATACCGTTTAAGAGGTTAGGTTTAGGTTCAAAGTAGCCATGCATGGCTTCGAATTTGAATAACCCTGCATATAAAGTAATCGTATCTCAGTGAGTGTTGCACAAACCTGTATGCTATCGCAGGCAGATCCCGTTCTTCCATATCCAAAATCACCAGACCTTCCTCCAAGCATCTCCGTAAATTGAGCAAAGAATGAAAACTAAGGGATGCGACGTGGGGTTTACCCCAACGATCCACTCCCTCTTCGACGTCTTCTTCGTACTTGATCCATCGAGCAGTTTCTTTCCATTCGCGTTCATCACGATTCTCGGTGGTGCAAATTTCAGCGAGTTCCACAAAAATCTACGACAATGAAAATGAATTTGAAAATATATACTATCCAATACATTAAATTATATAGTACCAGTGACCCATCCTGACATCATTGCAGAGCATACTTATATGCCTATGCCAACTAACGCAATTTCAACCTTTTTTCATCACACGTGTCGCAACGGCTTGTCAGGCTGCCTTATTTCATTTTGTCGCGCAATTGTTTTAATTTTGCGATAACATCTGAGTTATTGATATTGAAGATATTGAAATGTATGGTGTGACTGACAATTATAATGTGCACGATATGATTACAGTAACTAACGTATTCAATTTGATAAGGATTGATATCATATCCGCTAGCAATAGTTTTCTACATTAACCACATTTTAGTGATCAATTTTTACCTTTAAATTGAATATAATAAGCTATCCTTAAAAGATAAATATATAACATCGCCAGCTTTTCTATAGATCCTTGAAATAAAAACAATTTGTAGTGAATTTTTTGGTTATAAATCAAAGCAGAAAAGGTGAGGTGCCAAGTAGATCTTCGGTATCGTTACCTCTATGAATTCTAGTATAGAAAAAAATCGTGAATACCGTAGTGTTTCCATAAATTAAACTCATATGAGTAAGATGATTGATAATTGACTGACACTTGGACCCGAAGAAAATTGTAATAATAATATCTAGCACCGTGTTAGGAATCACACGTTAAAAGGTAAGACCTCGTTAGCCCTCAGCTCGCACAAGTTCTCAACTTTTGAGAGTTGTCGTTCGTATGGGGGCGACAGCTGATTAACGGAAAAACAGATTTTAAACAGATTTAAACAGTAGTAGACTAAACGTCAAGCATAATAACCTGCAGACCAAGGCCAACAAACCCGCAAAATTGCTTTTACACACAAAATTATAGGTGCCTGTAAGTAATCACGTGTTATTTGGTCTGAACATTTTTTGTCAATTTTTATTCACACTGAAACATTCAAGGACATTTATTCTTATGTGATTTAGGTGAGTGGTGGAAATTTCACTATTTTTAATATTCTCAGAACTATCGGAGAGAGGGAGTTCAGAAGAGTAACTGAATTCAATCAGTGTAATTATGATTTTATTGGATGAAAGCCGGATGAATTGTGTAAATCCCAAGATCGGAAATGTAAGATAATAGAAATTCAAATGCCCTTTTAATCGACGTCCAAAAAGTAAGTTATCAATTCGCCGTAGCAAATTTTCTGAAAATCATAGAGACGATGTTTTACACTGTGCACGTAAAGGTTAGAGTTTTTTTGTGAAACTTGTCACATTCATGAAAAATCCTCATATATCGTGTTTAATTTTTATTTATCTTGTTTTCGAAAATATATTCATTATACAAGGCGAAATACATTGAAGTAATGTACATTATTACTTCTATTTGTATGTTGTTATACTTTCTCTGCATATTTTTCTGGAGAGAGAGGCTAAATGGACTGTATATAGACTTGTGCACATTGCCAATTGCACAAATCAATTTAATGCAGAGTGCAACAGACTCTTGGTTGACACTGGAAGTCACACCATTCCGGAAATGACCTCTGACTTTATGCCTCCAACTGTCAACTACGAACTGCCTTATAGAGTACTGTTCTCGAGTAGAAAGGACTGGATCCTCCGGGAGAAGGAAATATTAAGTACAGATAGTTGTTGGTTCACAGATGGATCAAAAACACCTTCCGGTTCTGGTGCAGGTGTTTTCAGTCGCATACTCAGGACAGAGATATCAACCTACCTAGGAACCTATGCGATTGTATTTCTAGCCCATAAAAATAATCTCGGAAAGTCAAGTGGCGTTGAAAGTTTTTGACTCCTACCGAGCAATGTACAAATTGGTAGCAAATTGCCAAAAATGACTCTCTTCGATAGGAAGACGTAACAGATTATCTCTGGCTAATGCCATACTGGCTAGCCATACTGGTCTGGAAGGTAATGAGGCTGGTGAAGGAAGGAAGGTGCTTCATCGGACCAGAATCTGTCATTGGCATCGCTTTAGGTTTTGCCAAACGAAGATTGAACACCTGGATGGCAAGAAGACTCATGGACTTCTGGCAGAATCTTCCAGGATTGGCTCACTCCAAGGTGTTTATTCACCCTTCGAAGATTGACACCAAACAGTTGTTGGACTACAGTAGGGATGAACTACGATGACTAACAGGCCTTCTTACAGGTCACTGTCATTTGAATCATCATATGCAGAGACTCGGCCTTTCGAAAGACAGTGTATTTCGGCTCCGTTTGGAAAATATTGAAACAGCAGAGCACATACTTTGTGCCTGCCCCGCTGGGGACCCAATCAGGTTTTTATTAGATTTCGACAGAGCCGTACTCTTACCATCTGACCTGAAAAACCACTCACCTCACAAACTAATCGGCTTCGTTAAGAAGCTGGGTTTATTTGGTCGAGATGTGATCCACAATAAACCATTCGTGCAATGGATATTTCATTCTCAACAATTCATAATTTTTAGGTACGAATAAAATATGGAAGATTATAATGAACTATCATTCAGGTCATTTTGAATAACGTTTATCCAATAGGAGGAATAGCTACCTATAAATGTAATTGTGTAAAAGTAAGAGCTCCACAGGGGTTGATACAAACGAAGAACGGATCTACGCACTAAGAACGTGCGTGAACCTCATAGTGAGGGCAGAACCCCAAAGAATAAACAGGGGGCTAATATCGCAGTGCCACAAATGTCAACTATTCGGACATGCACAGAGATGCTGCCACTCAACGGTACGCTGTGTAAAATGTGGTGAAAATCACGAGAGCAGAGACTGCAAAAACCAGCAAAATGCGCAAACTGTTAAGAAACGCATCTAGCCAGTTACAGAGGAAGTAAAATGTTCCCGAAGCCGAGGCCAACAGCATGGAACAGGCCCAGAGAAGCCGACAGACAGAGGCCGAAACAACAACAGCCATCTGCCAAAAAGGCGATCCCACAAAAAAGGAAAGCAGACAGCGGCAACGAACTGATCAAAGTTCTGAGTAACCTCACGACGGAGCAGCAAAAGATCGCGCAAGCGGTCTTAGCTGCACTAATCCATAGAAAGGTGAAACGAGCTACTGGAGCTGCTATCGCGTCTAGACATAGACGTCATGGCACTGCAGGAGACAAGGTTAAGGAGTGAAAAGAGCTACCGAATCCCAGGATACAACGTATATAGGACAGACAGGCCAGGCGGCGCTACTTGTGAAAACAGACCTAGCGCAGAACGAAGTTAGAAAATCAGACATTCAACTCGGAGAAGCAGTAGCGGTCAGAGTCAAACTGAGACGCTACGGGCAGCTAAGAATATCGTCGGTATACCTGCCTTCGCAAGGTATAAGACTAGAAAGAACCGACATGGCAGAAATGTTCCCAGACCACCACCCAACAGTTGCCATCGGCGACTTCAACGCAAAGTCGCGCGACTGTAACTGCAGGTATGGAAACAGGAGAGGCAGAGAAATGGGCAGAATCCTAGAAGAATTCGAGGACATCACGGTAGTAGCACCGAACACCTCAACATACCGGACATTCTCGACATCGCACTAGTGCAGAACATCGAAACTACGAAGATGGAAGTACTAGACGAAGGTTCGTCAGACCACAACCCCATTCTATTTTCAATAGGAAGAAGTGAAGTGTAAACAGACAACCCAACAAAGCGAGTCATCGACTGAATGAGATTCCAGCGCGCCATACACGATGCGATGGGTGAGATACCACGCATCGAAAGAAAAACGCATCTGGAGAACGCCACACACCAGCTGCAGCAGGCGATCATCCAAACGATGGAAAGAAGCGCACGGGAAGTCCCAGCCCCACGCTTCAACTTCCAAGAACAGCTCCCACCAGAAACGATGGAACTGATCAGGACAAGAAGACGCTTGAAAAGACGATACCAAAGGACTCGCGCGCCTATGGACAAAAGGTGCATGCAAAGAGCCAACAGGATACTGAAAGAAGAATTGAAAGCTATTCGAGAGAGACAATGGACTACCCGTCTAGAAGAACTGAACACTGGAGATCAGGTGGAAAGAACGGTACGAAGACTAAAACAACGAACGGACAACGCGCAACCCCGACATCTCCCGAGGAAGTGAAAGACATCCTAAGACGTATATCCACTCGGAAAGCACCAGACCCGGACAACATAACAAACCGGGCACTGAAAGTACTACCGCGCAAGGGTACAGCATCCCGAAGCCCAAGAAGAACCACCTGTTCCCAGACAATCACAGGCCAATTAGCTTACTTCCTTCCATAAGCAAAGTGGCGGAGCGTGTCATCTTGAAGAGACTCGAAGACCAAACCAGAGAGCTAGGAATCCTCCCGGGTGAGATCAGAACATTCGACAGAGCTACAAGTCCTGAGGGTAGTAGACTTCGCGAACGAAGGCTTCAACCTCGGCAGAAAAGGACACAACACCGGAGGTATCTTTTTAGACGTCTCCAAGGCGCTCGACAGAGTTTGGCATGACGGACTACTGGCCAAGATGAGCGATTTCGGATATTCAAAACCAATGGTAAGATTAAGTCAGTCTTTTCCAGCTGACAGGCGATGCCGTTGCAGAGTAGGAGACGAACTATCAACAATTCGACTACTGGAAGCAGAGGTCCCGCAAGGAGCACAGCGGACGTGCCCAAGCCAGAGAACAACTTCAACAAGTTGGCGCTCTACGCGGACGACACGGCCCTGCTGGCGAGATCAACGAGCCAAGCGCATGTCACGAGGTACTTGCAGCAACAGGCAGACATATTAGAGGAGTGGGCCAACCTGTGGAAGATCAGTATAAACCCTGATAAGAGTCAGGCGATACTGTTCACTCGCAGGTTTGTACAACCGGAAGGCAACGTCACCTTCAACGGACAAGAGATTCCGTGGACCAAGAAAGCGACATACCTGGGGGTCACTTTAGACAGGAGATTAACATTTCAGTCTCATGTACGGCAGAGAATCGGAATGACCAGACACGCCAGACAACGACTGGCACCAATCA